AAGCATCTCTCCAGCCAGGTGTCTGAAGGAAACACCTTCCTTCAAGGGTCTGGTGCGAAGACAAAGTCGAGGGCCTGACGTTCAGCCCCAGCCACGTTGGGGTGCCAGAGGTCCACAATGAAGACTACTCTAGGCCCATCTTCAGGGGAACCTAGGGCACATGAGGATAGAAACAGAACAGCAGCTGACATGAAGCACTCACTAGAGACTCAAAAGAGTATATAGGTGCCAACCCCTGTTCTAGCCCTTTATATGTATGAACTCTTAATCACCAAAACAAATTATGAGGTAGCTCCGTGGTTATACAAAGCAACTAAGGTATAATAAGCTTAAATGATTTTCCCAATATCTGACCCCAAAATGTAGAGGGAGGAGAGAAGCCCAGGTGATCCAGACCTGAAGTCCTGTGCTGTGAGCTATTTTGTATGTACCTCCATTAACTTATTTAACCTGTGATTGCTTTATTAAAAAATGAAAAGGCAGTTTATAATCCCAGCAATTTGGGAGACTAAAGGAGGATCACAATTTGAAGGCCAGCCTCCACAACTTAGTGAGACCCTGTCTCAAAATTTTAAGGAAGAGCTGAGATATCCATCAGTGGTAGAGTGCCCCTGGATTCTATCCCCTGTACCAAGAGAAAAAAAAAAAAGGGCAGTTGCCACATAGGTGATTGGAGTTATGTGACTCACTCAAGATCATGCAGTTGAGAATTGGTGGTGCTGGGACAGGAAGTCAGCTGGGCCTGATTCTGCAGCCCTCTAAGTCTCCTTCACTCTTTCATCCTCACCCCCACCCTCAGCAGAGAGGAGGCCCCATTACCATTATGAGCCACTGTGTACAGGAAGGAGTCATCCACCAGGAGACAGTGCCCCTCAGCCCAGCACTGGGGCTCACCCCCAACCACCAGCTCACAGCCAGGGGGGATCTTCACACCTGTGGGAACAGACCAGGCATTTAACTTCTCTGCTTCTGCCCAAGGCGCCCACTCTGCTCAGTCAGCAGATCTAAAGGCCAGGTTCTGTGGTGGTCCCTCCTTGCTCTCTGGTTGGTGATTGGAGTATAATCAACAAAGCACCAGATGGAAGAAGTGCCGGGAGATCACGGAAGTGCTTCTGTGGAAAGCATAATCTATCATTTTTAGAGAATAAAGAAAGTTTCCTGGAGCAAATGGCATCTCCTTCTTGGTTTCCTGACAATTCACCTCAAGAACCCACTATCTGCAGGCACAGTCTCCTCACAAGATACAACTAAGGAGTCCATCCTGGCCCAAGGATCATACAGTTGGGCATGGTGGAAAAAATGAGACCTACTTAAATGATGGACAATAGGCAGGCATCCCAGAGGAGGCCCAGGATTTGAAAATACTCCCAAAGGCTGGGTAGGAGTCTTCTAGGCAATGATAAGGAGGAACGCTTTCTAGGTTAGAAGTTCAACAGTATGTGACATCTGCCTGAATCAGCCAGAAAGCCTTCATGATTTACAGTATGGTGGGAGGAAGGAGAGGAAGGATCTGGACTTAGTCCTGAGGTCAGCCTGCCCCAAAGTATAGGACACATCCAACTGGCTGCAAGGAGATGCTTTTAGGTGAAACAAGGTCATGGCATACAGTAACAATCAGAAGTTGATTTCCATTTTCTTTCAATCTTCAAAACATCAAAAAGAAAGTCTCAGAGGCTGGGGTTGTGGCTCAGTGGTAGAGCACTTGCCTAGCACGTGTGAGGCCTGGGTTTGATCCTCAGCACCATATAAAGATAAATAAATAAAATAAAGGTATTATATCCATCCACAACTACAAAAATATATTAAAAATCTCAGGTTGGTGCTCCTGGAGCTTTAACACCTCACTAATATTGATACCTTTTCGATGAAGAAAATAGAGGCCCCAGGCTTGGAGTGACCGGAGTATTTAACTAAAATGTTTAAGGCTTTCTTTTTTCTTTATTTATATTTTAGTTATAGGTGGACACAATATTTTATTTTTATGTGGTGCTGAGTATTGAACCCGGTGCCTCCCATGTGGTAGGCACTGAGCCACAACCCCAGCCCTCTTTTTTTTTTTTTAATTTAAATTTTATGTTATGAGTACTTTCTATGTAGAGTAAGAAATACTGATGATCACAATTCTATAAAGATTGCTTTTCATTAAATAATTAAAACCAAAGGTGGCAGGAGAGTCAATGTGAAGAAACATCATACTGGGGCTAAATGACTATGGTAGAGGTTATGAAGATGGTTTGCAGAGAAGTGAAGCTCAGAAAATGCTACTGTGGCCGGACACCACAGTGCATGCTTGTAATCCCAGCAGCTGGGGAGGCTGAGGCTGGGGGATCGCAAGTTCAAAGCCAACCTCAGCAACTTAAACAATTTAACAAGACCCTATATCAAAATAAAATACAAAAAAAAAAAAAAAAAAGGACTGGGAATGTGGTTCAGTGGTAAAGTGCCCTGTGGGCAATAATGAATAATAGAAGATTTTGAGAAGAAAGGCATGAGGAAAATTCATAGCAGAAAGGTTCATCAGCTGAGAAGCAGGTCTGGATGAGGCACTGTAGAAGCAAGGAAGTTGTCTAAAGGCAGGATTTACTTACCCAGATGGCATCTAACCCGAGCGTTGGTGGGCCCACAGCGGCCCTCGAGCCGGGCCCCAGGTAGAAGGACAGAAAAGCCAGCATTGCCGAAGGTGTTGGCACTCATAAAGCTCCGCAGCCCTCTCAGTGCCCTATAGGCTCCCGGGCACCGTCGGCAGTTGCTGGGTTGGCACCGGCCTGCTTGGTACAGCAGGAGCTGGTAGCACCCAGGGGCTAGGGGTGGGGACCAGCCCCGAGGCAGAGGGGTAGTCCCTGAGAAGTCCCAGCTCACAGCCCCAAAGTCCCGCAAAATGGCAGGGAAGCTGCTTTCTAAGAGTTCCACATCATGCCGTTGGGCATCCCGTGGCACAAAGGGGGCTGAAGGCAGGTCTGGTAGAAAAAACAGGCCTGGGCGCTGAATGCCCAGGATACCTGGCCCTCCTCCGAGGCCTGGGCCACCCTGAGCTGCCCGCCTCACCCTACCCATGCCAGCCCATGAGTAGCGCCTGGCATAGGCCCGAAGTCGACGGCTCACTAGGCCTTCTGCTCTGGGTCCTTCTCCAGGCTCCCCAGGGCTCCTTGGGCCTGGTCTGCCAACCTCAGGGCATCCCCTAGGCCCACCACTAACACCTCCAGCCTGGCTCCCAGCCCCCAGAGCCTGTATGTCTTGGGAACCGAGCCGGTAGCAGTACCAGAGGAACAGGGAAGTGAGGGCTCCGAGGAGCAAGGTAAGGGCTGAGGAGGCCAGGGGCAGAGGCCATGGAAGCATAACAGGCAGGGAGGCCCTGGCCAAGAGGTCTGGGGCATCTTCCAGACCCCAGTTTCCTGGTCCCCCCAGCTCTCCACCTGGCCCCTCAATGGCTGCTTCCTGGTCCCCCCCTGGGCAGTTTCCCTTCCACATCCCCTCTCCTGGTTCGTTGGCCTCTCTGATGTCTCCTCTCTACTTTGCACCTCTCTCTCCCCTCCTTCAGGTGCTAGGAGCCTCCTAGCTCGCTCTCCCCTCTCCTCTTACCTCTCCTTCCTCCATTCAGTTGTCTCCCCTCCCTCTATCGCTCTCCTCCTTTCTCCTCTACCGCCCTTCTCTCCCTCTCTCTTCCTTCTCCTCGGGCAGTCTCCTCTCCCTCTGCCTCTCTCCACCCTCAGTCTTCCACTCTCCCCTCTTTTCTTCTCCCTCCACCCCCGCTCCTTCTTTAGCTCGCCCTCCCTTTCCCTTCTAGCTTCCCCGGACAGCCAGCCGTTCCTACCCCGCCTGGACCCGCAGCCCAGGACCCCGCAGCCTGTCTTCCTCCGTGGTGGCCTCTCTCTCTCCTTCCTCCCTCTTCTCTCCTTCTTGCCCTCGCTCCTCACTCGACCCGACCCGCTGGTCTTGCCTCTCTCTCGTTCCCTCTCTCCTACTCGCTCCTTCCTTGGCTCCCACTCACCCTGACGTCACTCCTTCCCGCAGCCCTCCCAGCTTAGCTACCTCCGACCCCTCCCAGTGGCAACGCGACTCAGCTCTGGGGGAGGGGTAACTCAGCTCTGGATTTGCCTCCCTGCCCCCCACAGCCCGGACCTGGCGCCACGTGGGGCACAGGGGGCACTGTGCCAACCTCCCGCAGCCCCGCAATGCGAAACGGAGGGGCGGGGTCTGGATGGGGGCGGGGCTAACCCAGGGGGTGGAGCGAGAGCAGGGACTGACTGACTCTGCGGGGGCTCAGGGACTGCAGGCAGGGAGGCCACCGCCAGTCAGTGGGTCTGCGAGTCCCTCGAGTAGTCAGCCTGTGACTCCTCCTCCCCCTTGGCCTTCACAAGAGCCAGCCCACGCCGGGAGCCCGAACGTTAGTGAAAGCGGCTTCAGCCAATGCCCGCCAAGCCGAGGGCAGGCGGACGCAGGCGGGGCCGAGAAGAGCTGTCCGCGCGCTGGTGGTGCTGAAAAGGGCGCTCCCTAAGCGTGTCGAGGGAGACCAGTTGAAGCTGCCTGGCAGCTGGCCGGGGTTGTGTTGTAAGAGAAAGGGTCTCTCCTTTCCAGATCACCCCTTAGACGTTTCACAAACATGGAAACTCGCTGTTTTCCTGCGGGAGGGGAAGGCCCATCTCATCTGAGTTTTTCTGTAAAATGCAAAGGGGAAAGTCCAATGCGGGATCGGGTTGTGGACAGAGGGTATATTGGAGGACCAAACAGGCGCGAACCAAGCTGTGCCGCTCCTTGGCGCCCTGGGAAGAGGAAATTCAGATTCCAGATGTGCTGGAATGGCGGGGGGAGGGGGCCTAATTACTGCTGGGACTGAAGAGTTTCCTTTGCCTCCCCTAGGGGCCGCGGGAGTGAGTATTACGGTCTTGGCTCCTGATCCCTCCTTCCACCATCTGCACTTCCTCCTCCTCCCTCCTCCGCAAATAAATCCCAGGCCCCTCCCTTCTCCCGTCCCCAGGATCTGACGTGGGCTCGACACCTTTCTCAGCTTCTCCCTCCCGCAGCTTCAGTGCCCGAGCTTCGGCTCTCCGGGTTCCGCAACCCCTTCCCCTCCCCGACAAGCCCCGCTAGAGCCCCTTAGGGACCCTCCCAATCCTCAACCCCACCCTAGACCCCCCGGAAGCTGTATTTCCCCTCCCCACTCCCCCGCTTGGGATACAGCCAGCCCGGTGGACCCAGGCGCCCGAACAAGAGGGTAACCTTCGGCCCTCTCGGCCCCACCCCCTCCAGCCGGAGCCGCGCCCCCCTCTACCACGGATCCAGGAGCAGAGGACAGAGATTAAGCAAAAAGGGGTGGACTCCAGGCAACCTCTAGCCCAATTCTGTCCCTCCATCTCAAGGAGCAGAGAAATTGTCTTCCATTGCTGACCTCCAGCAGGAAAACAAAATTAAGGAGAAAGATAAAAGGACACGGAGGAAAAGTGGCAACTAGATTATTTAGGAGAGGCACAGAGGAGAGAAATTGGGGTGAGTCGCCATGGGGACTCCCAAGGCCCAGCACCCACCGCCTCCCCAGCTGCTGTTCCTAATTCTGCTGAGCTGTCCCTGGATTCAGGGTAAGGACAAGAGGGGGTGGGGGTGGACTCCGGGAAGGTCCCCAGCAGAGTCCTCCACCTTCTTTCTCTTAACATCTTGCGTCTTCTGAGCTCGCGGGGGGGGGGGGGGGGGGGGGGGGGGGGGGGGGG